GTGACCCAACAGTACAGCTGGCCACTTGCTAGGTCTCTGTAGGCCAGATGTGACCTAAAAGATGTGACCTAACAGTACCACAGTCCACTTGCTAGGTCTCTGTAGGCCGGATGTGATCTAAAAGATGTGACCTAACAGTACAGCAGGCCACTTGCTAGGTCTCTGTAGGCCGGATGTGGCCTAAAAGATGTGACCTTACAGCACCACAGTCCACTTGCTAGGTCTCTGTAGGCCGGATGTGACCTAAAAGATGTGACCTAACAGTACCACAGTCCACTTGCTAGGTCTCTGTAAGCCGGATGTGACCTAAAAGATGTGACCAAACAGTACAGCAGGCCACTTGCTAGGTCTCTGTAGGCCAGATGTGGCCTAAAAGATGTGACCTAACAGTACCACAGTCCACTTGCTAGGTCTCTGAAGGCAGGATGTGGCCTAAAAGATGTGACCTAACAGTACCACAGTCCACTTGCTAGGTCTCTGTAGGCCAGATGTGGCCTAAAAGATGTGACCTAACAGTACCACAATCCACTTGCTAGGTCTCTGTAGGCCAGATGTGGCCTAAAAGATGTCACCTAACAGTACCACAGTCCACTTGCTAGGTCTCTGTAGGCCAGATGTGACCTAAAAGATGTGACCTAACAGTACCACAGTCCACTTGCTAGGTCTCTGTAGGCCGGATGTGGCCTAAAAGATGTGACCTAACAGTACAGCAGGCCACTTGCTAGGTCTCTGTAGGCCGGATGTGACCTAAAAGATGTGACCTAACAGTACAGCAGGCCACTTGCTAGGTCTCTGTAGGCCAGATGTGACCTAAAAGATGTGACCTAACAGTACCACAGGCCACTTGCTAGGTCTCTGTAGGCCAGATGTGACCTAAAAGATGTGACCTAACAGTACAGCAGGCCACTTGCTAGGTCTCTGTAGGCCAGATGTGACCTAACAGTACAGCAGGCCACTTGCTAGGTCTCTGTAGGCCAGATGTGACCTAAAAGATGTGATCCAACAGTACAGCAGGCCACTTGCTAGGTCTCTGTAGGCCAGATGTGACCTAAAAGATGTGACCTAACAGCACCGCAGGGCACCTTATATAGAAATGCAGATGTACAAATATGTTGAATGTGCAGCTGTGCGGCTTACAAAGTAGTGAACACATTTTACAATTTCCCTAACCCTGAAGTACCAGGGTTCGATTTCCACAACAGATGTTGCTGTTTTTTTTTTAAGGTTTTTTTTTTAAAGAAGATATTTTGTGCAGCTTTTGAACAGCATTGGTGCGAAGTTATATTATGGAAGCGACTGAGGCCTTGTCACGTAATATTCCTAAGGCATGGCGCATTGCAGAAGACCTTTATTTTATTTTAATTATATGTGTGTATCACCTTATTTGTTTTCACTATACAATAAACAATTTACGTTATGCTGATGACAAAGTCTTGATAGCAACAAGTCAGAAAGAACTACAGTAAATTAAAGACATTCTGGTGTTAGAAAGTAGAAGAATGGGCCTCAGTTTGAATAATAGGAAGACAGAAGTAATGGTGGTATCAAAGAAACGAATTATTCCTAAATGTGTAAAAAAAAGTCGATGGTGTTATTACAAGTACAGAAATGTAAGTATCTGGGACCATGGATAACATCAGATGGAAGATGCATAACTGAGATAAGAAACAGAATAGGACAGGCAAAAACTGCATTTTATAAAATGAAGAACATCTTGTGCAATATGTCCTTGTCATTGAGATTTAGAAAAATAATTCTTGCTTGCTATATACATCCAGTTTTAACATATGGCTGTGAATTGTGGACAATCAGTAGGCAGGCCAAACTATTTCTTGAGGCCTCAGAGATGTAGTTTTACAGAAGAATGTTTAGAATACCTTGGACAGCCAGAAAGAGCAACCAAGAGGTTTTGAAAGAGGCGGGAGCCCGAAGACAACTTATCACAGACATCAGATGGAGACAGTCATTATTTTTAGGCCATGTTATGAGAAGAGGAAAAATAGAACATGTTGTGACCACTGGAAAGATCTGTGGAAGGAGGGATAGAGGAAGACACTTGACAGTCTTGTTGCACACGAACTAATACAGGAGATCGAATATTGTGGAGAGGCATGATTGCCCATGCCAGTTGGTAAGGCACCTGATGATGATGAGGATAATGTGTGTTGAATACATAAATAAATGTATAAATATGTGCATGTCTGGATGTATGTATAGTTTGGATGTATGTATAATCAAGATGCCAGAAAATCATAAAAACTGCAATTCTTCCCTTCTTAAAAACATACACACAGAAAAAACATTATAAAGAAACTCTAAATTTCCCCATAAATTACTACTAATTTAAAGAAAATCTATTATTTTCTGACATACTTGAGCAAGATTATGTTTCATTTTTAAAAAGTCATGATTAGTTCCTTCAGAGAGAAAAACATCTGATTCTGTTCCACCCTGCTTGTGGTTGCTAACATCAAACAAACATAATGAAATCTGTACTCACAATCCATAACAACTGCTGTGCTGTTAACATCGCCCAGGTCTAAAGGTTTCGAGTCAAGCAGAACAAGGTTAATAAGGTTCTGGCAAAGCAGTTTACAGGAGCAAGTGAGGTATATTAACTATAACAGATGCTTAAACATAAAAAGAGGCAAAAACTGCAATGTTGGCATTGTAAAGGTAAAGGTCTTGAAAGGGATGAGGACCAACTGCATTCCATGGTTCAGTCCCATATGGCTTGCTCTCTCTTTTCAGAGCAGCCAGTCTCCTGCCAGAAGTGTCACACAAAGCACATCGCTCTTCAACTTCAGTGATGACACCCCCCCCCCCCCCCCCAATCCTTATCTCAAAAAAGCTGAACTCACAAACCAAACAACAAGTCCAAAACTGAACTTATTACTTTTAGAGTACAAGCAAACAGCTTTACCCTGTTGTCTTGGAGCACCCAGTGTGAATACTGTACAATACGGCGTACAATTGGACCTCAAGATTTTTACCTCAAAATTATCAGTTAGGTCTATACTTCCAAAACATATTTTATATCATTTAAATAAGTCCACCTGCCTAGTTTTGGCTTTATGCTTCTGTTATCAGTAAGTCAGGTATCTTAGAGGTCCAATATCTGACAGTGACTCTAGCAGGCCAGGTATAATGTCTGGTGTGGACAGTATGACATTTTGTGAAACAAGAAATCCAGACAATTTACACCCCTTTTTAATAAGCTAGTACACTGATCAACTGTCAGTCACAGATAAGAGTAAATAACTAAAATTACTTGTGCAAACATTTAGAAATTCATCCGCAGCTGGAAATCCGCAATTGTTCACCTGAGAAGAAACAAACAGAGAATCATCGAACAGGCACTGAAATGGGAACTAGAAGGATTGAGGAAACACTGATGAGAGGCCAGAGCTGCAGGAAAACACTGATGAGAGAGGCCAGAGCTGCAGGAAAACACTGATGAGAGAGGCCAGAGCTGCAGGAAAACACTGATGAGAGAGGCCAGAGCTACAGGAAAACACTGATGAGAGAGGCCAGAGCTACAGGAAAACACTGATGAGAGAAGCCAGAGCTGCAGGCAAACACTGATGAGAGAGGCCAGAGCTGCAGGAAAACACTGATGAGAGAGGACAGAGCTGCAGGCAAACACTGATGAGAGAAGCCAGAACTGCAGGCAAACACTGATGAGAGAGGCCAGAGCTGCAGGCAAACACTGATGAGAGAGGCCAGAGCTGCAGGCAAACACTGATGAGAGAAGCCAGAGCTGCAGGAAAACACTGATGAGAGAGGCCAGAGCTACAGGAAAACACTGATGAGAGACGCCAGAGGTGCTGGACTTAATTCCATCCATGATGTCGAAGTGACTGCACAGGATGGACCAGACCTGAGGAATAGACTGTGAGCCCTATGTGACATGTAATGGTACCACAGGACAATAAATGACCTGTAACCAGCAAGTTAATATTTAAGATACAGACAATAAAGACATTTATTCTGTTCAACAAGGTTTTAAAAACAATAAGACCTCATTAACACGAAACTGCTTAAGAAGAACACTAGGTCAACACAAATAAAATGTTGGTCCCAGCAGGGAAGGATCGTTATTATTATTTGTCGCCGTTTAGCACACACATTTTTTTTTTACACAAACTTACTTCAAATTTGTGTAAATGAGGTTTTATAATGCAAGGACATACAACTCATTTTAGTAAGTCACACATAATTAAATGTAGTTGTAGCCGTATAAATAGAAGAGAGAAGAGATTGTAAATAAACTATAGGAATGCCTTAAAATATAAAGCAAAAAAAAAAAAAAAAACTTTATTATAAATACATTTCACAAAAGATGTATTGTGCCTTTCAATTATTTACTACATATTGAACAGACATTTACTGAAACTGGCAGAAACTGTGAAAATTATTATGAACAATCCCACACAGTGCAAACAAAAAGAGCATGTGATAAATTTGACTTTTCAGTGGTAATCACATAGCTAATCTTGAATTTCCCGTGGTAAGATGTACAGCGGTGTAACTAGCCATTGTCGCTTGTATTTGGATATTGCAGTACTGAACGATTTCTTTCCCTTATGTGCTTTATGATATAGTAAAACCTTTATAACATGAATTCCAGGGGATGAAACAAATCAAGAGCTAGTTTTTTGTTGTTGCTAACTAGTGACAGGAGATGTTTTATGAATAATGCATCCCTGCTGCGACCAAAATTGTGTTAATATTAACCAAGTATTTATCTTGAGCAAGTTCATGTTGACATGGTTTGATTTATGTTGATGTCACTTTGTAAGAATGCACCTATCGAGGGAAATATGGCAAGCAAACAATTGTGCAATGCAATGTTTGTGTCCACATTATTTAAATTCGAAACAGGTCAATAAACAGGCCATGAAAACAGTGTGGCCAAAACAGATTTATCTATTAAATAAAGCCTTTCGTGTGATAACATGTGACAATGTTCATCTTTGCGTGCATGAATAGTTTTAATAATTAAATAAGAATGAAAAATGAATTCTATGAACAGAAAAATTTGAGAAATAAACAATGCAGAAACAGACAGAATCAGTAATGATATTAATGATGACATTAGCGAGGTATGAAGTAAATAAATGAGGTCTTCAGCTTCTTCTTTCTTTTCATCCTCCAACTTTTCTTCTTCCTCTTCCTCTTTTTCCTCTTCCTTCTTCTCAGGCCTTATTCTCTTAAATGTGCAAAGGCTTCTAATCATTTGATTTCAAAACCTTTCGTCGTTTGTCACCTTTCATAAATCCTTCTTTTATCATTCCGTCTGACACTACTCTACACTGCACTGCGCCTAGCCGCACACTCCACATGCGCACACACACACACACACACACGTACATAAAATGTATCTTTAGTAAGTAACTGTAAAGGAGCATTTTTCATGCCTTTGACGCATCAGGCATATAATACTAGACTTATATTTTTACAGAACACTTAGCACTCAGTTGATGATGAGGTCAACATTCCACCGGCCACCTTTATAACACTTAGCACTCAGTTGATAATGTGGTCAACATTCCACCGGCCACCTTTACTTCCCATGACATTACCTGTTACCAATTTTAGGTTGGGCTAACCTAGCAGCAAAAGTCAATTTTGCAGAAAATCTGCCTTGATTTGGATGTAAACCCGACACTTTAAGGCAGGCAGGCAGGTACGCAAGCATCCGGCCACTACGTACCACAGTTCCTAAAATTGATCTTTCCCACCATAACATGATACAGTTAAAAACTGTCAAGAGAACCGCTTACCTGACACTATTATTCCTCTGTCTATCAAATTAGATGTTTGCAGTGATAACTCTTTTATTTATTCCCTACCAACAAGCCAGACAGCTCCACACTTGTAAGTAAAACCACTTATCTCAACATTTCACCAAGCTACACATCCACACTGGTTAAGTAAAACCACTTATCTCAACATTTCACCAAGCTACACATCCACACTGGTTAAGTAAAACCACTTATCTCAACATTTCACCAAGCTACACATCCACACTGGTTAAGTAAAACCACTTATCTCAACATTTCACCAAGCTACACATCCACACTGGTTAAGTAAAGCTGTTAGACTCAAATTAGATATTCACACTGATTAAGTAATGAAACCACAATATTCACATTTGTATCACACAATATATTCACAATGGTAAGTAAAGCCACTTGATTCGAACTGCTGTCATACCAAACATTCCAACAGTAAGACTGCATATCTGTTAATATACATGTGGTTATCAAGGATCTTTCAAAAAGATCAGTTATCAAATCATTTCAATTCCTGTGTGGGTTCAGGGACCTCATTGTGGGGAAAACAAGAAACGACCCACTGCCAGCCGAACAAGCTTGTTATAGGAGTCGATTAACTGAGAACTTCATTCAAAGTCGGAGTGCAACTGTACGAGTGGCAAGGAACAAACACCTGCACACAAACAAGCTATAAAACGGATGTACACATAAAACTCAGACTCTGGCACAAAGTCACTGGCACAAAGTCGAAGTCCAAATAGACAAACAACCAGGACCTTCCACCAGAGTTTACAGCAGGTGAACAAAGAAGAAGATATCATGTTGAAAAAATTAGGTGAAACAACTAGGATAGCTTAAATAAAAGTACAAGACTCAGTAGTTAGCAGTGTATCCTTTACATAATGTTGCATAACCAAGGGCTGCGGTTTTTTTTTTTTCCATTTGTGGTTTTACTAGGCAATTTTGCGTTGGGTAGTTTGCTCCTATTTCTGAATGGTCAGATCTCAATATCACCGTCGAAAACAATGCCAAATAGTCTGCTGCCAAATCCCCCACTGCTGTAATCGAACCAGTTAATTCAGCATAACGAGTGCATTCACAACACCTAAGCCACTGACTCTGACACTTTTTTTAATCTCAAAAGATATTTTTAAAATGCAAATATTTGGCGTCTTAAGAAGATGCACGAGATGTACTGTTTGGTATAGACTGAATTCAAAGAGTTAACCTCCTGATACTTAAATATAGTAGACTGCAATATCCAGCCTAATGTGGTAGAAAAAAAGCTTCATATGCTGTTTTTATATAAATATTTAGTTTCTATCCTACCCATATCATTAATAATACCCTTTTTTTTTAAACCCATTCTTAATAATATTTTCTGACCTTTCAGTACAGATTAGTACTGTTCACATTTTAAGATAAAATTTATCATCTCTAGCTTAACTACAGGGGGAAAAAAAATCACACGATGCATGCTTGCAAAGACTTGGCAAAGTAAATTATTCCTTATTTCATTACTAATAATAAATATTTTTTTTTAAATGATACTGGAAAATACAGATAATCCTGAACGGGATAACTGAGATTCTACTGTATTAGTAGACGAAGTCACTTGCTTCAGTCAAGCTCACACAGTTGCCATTAACTCTCGCCATGCATACACAGTTACCTTCTTCTGTAGTGTAGAATGGATCACTTGCGTCACTTAGACTGCCTTTGCCGACAGCATTCACAGCAGCAACCCTGGCAGTGTAGCACCGGAAGGGCGACAGTCCATCAACTGTCACTGTGGAGGATTCGTTGCTTAAAACCAGATCTATTGTGGTGGTATCTGTCTGGCAGTCCCTGTGAAGATTGAAGGAATTTGCTGACTGAATGATTAGTTAAGATGCAATTATGCACTTAAGGCACACTAATATGTACTTTCTCAACAGACAACAGAGTCTACGGTTCCTGGTTTTTCCTACAGTTCAATGACTTGAATGCAACTATGTTGTTCCTGTGTGTGATCATGCTTAACAGTACCATTGTGACTAGTCCTAAGCTGAGTACCTTCTTCTTAGTTCACCACTAAAAGGTGGTTCAGACAGGTGGTTTATGGCTAGGCTGCAATTTTTTGGCCCAACACATCTAATTTCAGCAAAATCTTAATTAGTGACCTTTTATGCCATGCTTGAAAAGAAATAGTGAGTCTGTTGTTATCCCCCCCCCTCCCCCCACCAATGGGAGCCCTAGAACCCACACAGGGAGATTGAGCTATATATCAACCTCTGTTAACTTGCAGCAACTTGTCATCAACATCATCCATTTCATGCAACAATCCAAAAAAGCATGGGTGGTCTTATTTCACCACATCATATGATAACAAGAATCATGGATCAGGTCTATGTTGTCTGTTCATACCTGGTGGTCAAGCCATCCATGCATGTATCACTGTCTTCCCTTTGCCCCTTTACTATGAAGTTGCCAACCGTCACTCAGTTTACTTTTCAAGCACATACCCAAAACAACTGGACTGTCTATGTCTAATTTCTCTACTCAGTTCATGGTTTTTGTCTGTCTTTTGGAGTGATGTCTTATCGATTTTCCTACCATTATATTTTTTTGAATTTTTCTCAGATACCACATTTCCACTAAATGTTTTCTTTTAACTTGTCAGTCCACTAACTTGTTATAAGTGATTCAAAACATGTTCCTTGTCCACTTCAATGTCCTCACAACTGGCTGCTTATGGCCATGATATTAGATAACTATGAACCTAGACCCACTGCTGGATCAAACTGACAATCCACCTAACACACTGAAGAGATGGTACACCTACACATAACCATGATATCAGATTACTATGACCACCTAACACACTGAAGAGATGGTACACCTACACACAACCATGAACCTAGACCAACTGCTTAATCAAACTGACAATCCACCTAACACACTGAAGAGATGGTACACCTACACACAACCATGAACCTAGACCAACTGCTTAATCAAACTGACAATCCACCTAACACACTGAAGAGATGGTACACCTACACACAACCATGAACCTAGACCAACTGCTTAATCAAACTGACAATCCACCTAACACACTGAAGAGATGGTACACCTACACACAACCATGAACCTAGACCAACTGCTGGATCAAACTGACAATCCACCTAACACACTGAAGAGATGGTATACCTACACACAACCATGAACCTAGACCCACTGCTGGATCAAACTGACAGTCCACCTAACACACTGAAGAGATGGTACACCTACACACAACCATGAACCTAGACCAACTGCTGGATCAAACTGACAATCCACCTAACATACTGAAGAGATGGTATACCTACACACAACCATGAACCTAGACCCACTGCTGGATCAAACTGACAGTCCACCTAACACACTGAAGAGATGGTATACCTATACACAACCATGAACCTAGACCCACTGCTGGATCAAACTGACAGTCCACCTAACACACTGAAGAGATGGTATACCTACACACAACCATGAACCTAGACCACTGCTGGATCAAAACTGACAGTCCACCTAACACACTGAAGAGATGGTATACCTACACACAACCATGAACCTAGACCCACTGCTGGATCAAACTGACAGTCCACCTAACACACTGAAGAGATGGTATACCTACACACAACCATGAACCTAGACCCACTGCTGGATCAAACTGACAGTCCACCTAACACACTGAAGAGATGGTACACCTACACACAACCATGAACCTAGACCAACTGCTTAATCAAACTGACAATCCACCTAACACACTGAAGAGATGGTACACCTACACACAACCATGAACCTAGACCAACTGCTTAATCAAACTGACAATCCACCTAACACACTGAAGAGATGGTATACCTACACACAACCATGAACCTAGACCAACTGCTTAATCAAACTGACAATCCACCTAACACAGTGAAGAGATGGTATACCTACACACAACCATGAACCGAGACCCACTGCTGGATCAAACTGACAATCCACCTAACACACTGAAGAGATGGTATACCTACACACAACCATGATATCAGATTACTATGAACCTAGACCAACTGCTAAATCAAACTGACAATCCACCTAACACACTCAAGAGACGGTACACCTACAAACAACCATGATATTAGATTACTATGAACCTAGACCAACTGCTTAATCAAACTGACAATCCACCTAACACACTCAAGAGACGGTATACCCACAAACAACCATACATACAACCAACCACAGCAGACCTACCCAAGTATAGAAACAAGCGAAGGCTGCTGCCAGTATGATAAAATAGAAATGAATTGATAAAATAAAAATATAAGAAGCTCAAGGAAATTAAACATGCACATATAGATACAAGGGAACATTTCTACCGAGGCCAATCAATCTGCAAGAAAACAGGAATACTTAGCTAGGAAACTAAAATATCAGTTACACATCAATGATCCGCCCATTTCTGATTTTGTTCTATTTTCTTCACTGAAACATTGGGATGAGCCATTTCTGATTTTGTTGTTGCTGACACCGCTATAGTTTTAGAACAGTACAGCAGTGAGGTCTGTCCTGGCGAACATTAAAACCTCATGACAACAACCTCAATGAAGACAAGGTTGCGTGCTACACAAGAAGATATGAACTGTATGATAGCTTTCATCTAGGCTACCGGCTTCCCAGTATCCATTTTCTGAGAAAAAGTTAGAAAAGACAAAAATATGGTAACCTGGCAACTGGAAGGTTCTAGATGTTGTTAGTACCCTTCCACATCTCCAGATGATAGTGTGCTATAGCCAGACATAAGAATCTCAGCCCCTGTAACTAGCAAAACCAGTTCAGGTTAAGAATCTTCCATAAAGGTGCATGAGATTTCAGAGCCGTTGTTGCCTTCATAAGTGTATGTTCATCTCTTAACCTGTCTGCAGTCAATCTCTCCTCTGTCCTTATTCCCTTTCTAAACACACACACCCCCCCCCCCCCAACTGTTTCCATGCAATGTGATCATCCTGTTCCTATGAATCCACTTCAATACCTGTATCCTTCATATCCTGCTTGCACACACCTTTAAATCATAGCAGTAGTGCCACCCACCATCTATCCTATGAGTGTGTGCTTCCATAAGTACACTGAGAAAGAATCAATGCTCCTGATAGAAACCATCAATTATATTTTATTTTCTGCCGTCCTTCATCTCCCAATGGAGCAAAGACCCTCAATTCAATAAACTCACACCCTTTAGTGGCTTTATGGACTGACTGAGTCAGCCAGGCCGGTCTTATGCCAACCTTCTTAGACATCTCTCAAGACATGTATGATATATTATCTAATATACTGAAAACTGTCATCTCACCTGACATTCAACACGTAAGCGGTGACTGGACTATTGTTAGCATTACTTGGTGCCCATGTGATCGCAGCTTGTCGAGACTGAATATCTTTCACAGTCGGCTTGCCAGGGGCACCAGGAACATCTGGCGTAAGAAACAAAAAATTGTATACAACAGTAGATGTTAATTACAATGAAAGTGAACTGACATTAAACCGTGCTTGAAGTAACTAATCAATGACATGTCAGAGAGGAAGTTTGGGAGGGCAACACCTTCAAAATAACTAACGGCAATAAACAACTGACTTAACATTACACTGTAGGATGAGTCTCAGTCTCATAAAGCCCACATATGAGGTCTTCAAGGTAGGGATAAGAGACACTATAAGGTAAGGATAAAAGACACTATAACTAACTTCTTATGGGAAAAACTAGTACAGATACCTTGAGGTGACTGTTGCATTGGAGGTAAGAACACTCATGGGAAGACCCAATGTGCTGTGATATCAACTGTGATAACATAATATTACACTATACAAGAATTCAGGAACAACTGACAATGGACAAGTTATAAAACATAAGCCGGGGTAACTTTTCGATAACAAACATGACCTACAAAAATAAGCTAACTTCAAGAGCCGGACACAGTATTGTGAGAAAGTGTGCAACCAGGCAAAGAAACAGAAACTTTTGGAAATTCACTGCAAGCAAGTTTCATTGTAAAGATAACATCCGATTGATTGATCACTTTCATCATCATCAACTTCCACTTTGCTGTTAAGGGTCATAGAGAAAGAACAGGTGTGATAAATTGCTCGATGGGTAACCCTGGATACTGTCATTGCATGCAGATGTGGGATGCTCTTAAAACAATCAGTTCAGCAGATGTAGGATGTTTTTAAAACAATCGGTTCATCTTCATTAATTCATTGTGGGCTCCCTTTTGCTTTTATTCCAGATCATTTTAGATGTAGAGCCTTGTTGGTAGTTCGTAATGAATTGGATGCAAGGTGTTGTTCTCACAATTTGTCTGATAGTATCATTTCTCACTTTGTCTTCGATGGTTAAGCCGGTGGCTTTCTTCAAGCATCTCATCTGAAAGTTTTAATCAACTGTAGATTAGCCTTTGATAATGTCCTAGTTCGACACTTGTAGCAAGGTATTGGTATGACTATGCTAATTATAATCTGGGTTTTTGTTGTCAGTCACAGTTACATCTGGATGAATTAAAAGCCTCAATTGGTATTATGTATAATGGCTCCTCAACATCTCATTTTTATTTCCTTGTCTTTCTCCTGTGCTCTGGGAATAAACTTCCTACATGTTTAGATTCAGTATCTTGCCTTACACATGTACCATTTAATCCTATATGTTAGGTTAGTTGCGTATCCTTTACAGGACATTGCAGAACCAACCTTAACAGCCCCTGGCTGTTGTGTGGTTTTTCTAGGCAAATTTACATCTAGTAGTTTGCCACTGCTTTCTGGACGGTCGGCTTTCTTAATACCACTGTCGAAACCAACGCAAGGCGCATGGCCCGCAGCTGGGATCGAACCAAGCATCCCGGCATTACGATGCGTTCGCATCGACATAGCCACAGCGCCAACAATCCTATCTGTAGCAGACTATAAATTTTAATGACTGAATATAAAATAATGGGTATTGATTAACTGAAGTTGTAAAAGAAGCGAGGCAGAAGGAGACCTCGAGAGAAGAGTTAGATAGTCTGGCATCACAGAAAGGAGAGGTCTCTGCATTAGATATGACTGGCAGTATGCAAGCCAGAAAGCTATTGACAAGACACAATGATCCACACCACATAGCTTAGACTACAAGCAGGCCTCCTTCAAATCCTGCAGGACTAAAGAATTGTGCAGCTGGGCAGGCACCAGAAAGTGCAGCTGGGCAGGCACCAGAGAGTGCAGCTGGGCAGGCACCAGAGAGTGCAGCTGGGCAGGCACCAGAGAGTGCAGCTGGGCAGGCACCAGAAAGTGCAGCTGGGCAGGCACCAGAAAGTGCAGCTGGGCAGGCACCAGAGAGTGCAGCTGGGCAGGCACCAGAGAGTGCAGCTGGGCAGGCACCAGAGAGTACAGCTGGTCAGGCACTAGAGAGTACAGCTGGGCAGGCACCAGAGAGTACAGCTGGGCAGGCACCAGAGAGTACAGCTGGGCTGGCACCAGAGAGTGCGGATGGGCAGGCACCAGAGAGTACAGCTGGGCAGGCACCAGAGAGTGTGGCTGGGCTGGCACCAGAGAGTGTGGCTGGGCAGGCACCAGAGAGTTCAGCTGGGCAGGCACCAGAGAGTGTGGCTGGGCTGGCACCAGAGACTCCGGATGGGCAGGCACCAGAGAGTGCAGCTGGGCAGGCACCAGAGAGTGCGGATGGGCAGGCACCAGAGAGTGTGGCTGGGCTGGCACCAGAGAGTGCAGCTGGGCAGGCACCAGAAAGTGCAGCTGGGCAGGCAACAGAGAGTGCAGCTGGGCAGGCACCAGAGAGTGCAGCTGGGCAGGCACCAGAGAGTGCAGCTGGGCAGGCACCAGAGAGTACAGCTGGTCAGGCACTAGAGAGTACAGCTGGGCAGGCACCAGAGAGTACAGCTGGGCAGGCACCAGAGAGTACAGCTGGGCTGGCACCAGAGAGTGCGGATGGGCAGGCACCAGAGAGTACAGCTGGGCAGGCACCAGAGAGTGTGGCTGGGCTGGCACCAGAGAGTGTGGCTGGGCAGGCACCAGAGAGTTCAGCTGGGCAGGCACCAGAGAGTGTGGCTGGGCTGGCACCAGAGACTCCGGATGGGCAGGCACCAGAGAGTGCAGCTGGGCAGGCACCAGAGAGTGCGGATGGGCAGGCACCAGAGAGTGTGGCTGGGCTGGCACCAGAGAGTGCGGATGGGCAGGCACCAGAGAGTACAGCTGGGCTGGCACCAGAGAGTGCGGATGGGCAGGTACCAGAGAGTGTGGCTGGACTGGCACCAGAGAGTGCGGATGGGCAGGCACCAGAGAGTGCAGCTGGGCAGGCACCAGAGAGTGCCGCTGGGTGTCATGAAATGGCAGTGATACACCATGGAGGGCCATTCTTTCGCGTGGGAGACAGCTTTCTCCAACTCAAGTGTACATAACTATCCGCAGTGCATGGAAGTCAATGACGTCATAGTATACACGCAAGTTCAGTACGCACGCACGAAAGCACGAAAGACAAAAAGATCGGACTAGTGTCTATGAAATGACACAATATGAACGTCATAATCACGACCGGTGTTCTAAGTTTGGTATCAATTAACCTACTGACGGGGAATTCCAGGTTGCTGCAGACTAGAGGGAACACAGTAATTCCGTCATAGCAGCGGTAGTCACATGATGATGATGATGTGCGTACCTAGACCCGATTTAGAAACAACATGCGCACCGGAAGACGCGCACAGGATCTCATTTCCAGAAATCTTCACTTACGCCCTTCCGATTCTCGACAGCCGTGAGTAGAAGACATAGAAATTTCTGAGATTTGCAGCCAGTAAGATCAGGCGCAATCTCTAGAGTTTTAAGGGTTTTTGATATTCAGACAAGGGGGTAAGAGATTATAGATCTTATATGTTGTTGTTTGTACGTTTGGTATCTTCATTTTGATAATATTTACATGTATTTTATAAAGCACTGAAATGTGTATAATGATGATTGTAAGATAGAAATGTATTGAACCACATGGTTGGGACTGTAACTTGTGAATGTATTGAACCACATGGGTGGGATTGTAACTTGGAAATGTATTGAACCCCATGGGTGGGACTGTAGCTTGTGAATGTATTGAACCACATGGGTGGGACTGTAAGAGATAAATGGATTGGACCACATGGGTGGGATGGTAATATAAATATATGTGTATATATATATATATATATATATAAATAAATTGTCATGATTGTCATAACCAGGGCAGGGACTTCTTAGCCCAGTCATATGGTTAGTGAAAATAAAATATAAAATGATAGATTCACATATGAGGCGATGTGACAACTCAAATGAATAGAGTTGTCAGAAGCTGAGGTGATGGAAGTTAGTTAATTATTATGTATAGTAGCCAGGCAATTTAGGTGCACACTCTCACAAGTGGTTGTTTTGCTTTTGTCTCGTTCTAGCTCGGCTGTGCCAAGCCATACCCACAACAAAGTGGAAGGAAGATTTACAATTGTGTAGTATAAGCCACTGGGTGGCAAGTTGTGTTTTATAGCAAGTCCAGGAGAGACTGTATAATCAATGTGAGAGTGACAATCTCTGTTAATTTCCACATCTGTGTGTGCTGCAGCAAGTAACTGCATTTTATATGTGTGGCTCTTCTCCTCAGTTGCAGAAACTATCAGAAGAATTGGAGATTAGTAAATAATAGAAATGCTGCTGAGGTTGCAGGCTTTAATGGGTGCTGGAAGAAATCTATTAATACTTTGATCCTTAGACTCCTAACTCTTTCAATCTCAATTACTTTAAGTCATTTAAATCTAATAAGTTGTTATGTTACCTATTAAATGTTTGAATGTGAAGTAGTTGAAATTATAACACTATAATTATAACACTATGAGACAGAAGGTTATAAGGTAACAACTTAGTCAAAGTGGGTACATGTAATTCTTAATTATTAAAAAAAGTCGACCACATAAGAGGAAACCAACAAGTGAGGGAATCGACTTCACTGCACGGGGCTTCCCGTGTGGGTTTTGGGGCCCCTTTGTAGGGACAATAAGAACAGACCAACAGCCTCCTAAACAAGCATGTTGTAAGAGTCGACTAACTGGGGGCTTCCTTCACAATCGGAGTGCACCTGCCTGAGAAGAAAAAGACCAACAATCTGCACACAAATAAGTCAGATCAGCAAAACGGATGTGCAAGCAACACTGATGTTCTTAAACAAGACTGAAGTCCAGAGGTTAATGAACAACAAGAGCTTTCCGCTGGAGTTTACAGATGTTGAACGCCAAGATTAAGAAGACTGCACTGGGTTTTATTCCATATAGCTCAGTCTCCACAGAACAGCTAGTTGTCTGCTGAGAGCCCCGTACAAAGCACAAACACTGTAGCTCTGGCGATGATCCCGTAAAATGAACCAGCGACTTTTAGAGTCAGAGGCAAACGGCTTGACCCCTTTATCAAGGAGACCCTCCCCACCAAGAGATTGGTAAACAAATGAGTTTAAGTCAAAGGTTTGCAGCAAATATTTGAAAATAATTATAACACACTTACCTGGTACACTTACAAGTCCGGCAAGAGGAAAATAAATAAACTTAAATGGCCTAGTTAAAATTTTAGTAGGCAAGAGGAATACAAATTAAGTTACCTTGAACAATTAAAATATATGCAGTCTCCCTCGGCTCTAAGGTGCCACTTTTATTTACATAAATCTGGCAAGAGTAGTTGCCAGAGTCCGACATCTCAAGGTCCCTCAAAGTTAGCTTATGCTGATCATCGACAGAAATCTGTTTGGACATGATCACAGATAAAATAGATGACATTCTTGGATAAAAATAAAACTTGCTAGAGAAAATATAGTTCCGTTACAAATTACTGTCAACCTAACAAAACTGGCAATCCTGTTAAATATCAGAATAGGGCAAAACAGGCTGAAAAGTCATTCACAAAAGAGGGGGAAACTGGTTCTGTCACACCTAAAACATGGTGTTCACATTCCACCAAAGTCACCTAAGTTTGGCGGTTTGCGCCTAAGAGCCATTTTAGGACTGTTATTTGTCAATTTACATATTCAAACAGGTCACAATGAATTTATTACTTTTCAGGCAACTAAACAATTTTAATTTACCACTCAATGTTTAACAATAAAAATAAAAACAAGGATTTAGCACTCAGATGATTCTGATGCAGTGCCAATGATGTGAACAATAGACCACAGAATGTATCCTTTAAGTCTGCCACACTCTGTCTGACCTACACAGATCAACATCATCAGGTGCCTTGCCGACTGGCGTGGGTGATCATGCCTCTCCATAATCTGCGATCCCCTGCAGCATGTATTAGTTCGTGTCCTCCATTCCATGCAACAAGACTGTCAAGCATCTTCTCTCGTTGTCTTCCTCTATCCCTCCTTCCACAGATCTTTCCAGTGGTCACAACATGTTCTATTTTCCCTCTTCTCATAACATGGCTGAAAAATGATGACTGTCTCCTTCTGATGTCTGTGATAAGTTGTCTTTGGGCTCTCGCCTCTTTCAAAACCTCCTGGTTGCTCTTTCTGACTGTCCAAGGTATTCTAAGCATCTACAGAGATAAACATACATAAAAAGCTATTTAGGTCTCAATTACAACATGTTTTGTTTTTAAAAAAAAGAATGATTGTCAAGTATGCCCCTGTTAGTCTAAGAACTAGACATCGCTCCTCCCCTCAAATGCAGTAACAACACACAAGCTTACCCTGCCTGAAGGAGTCCCACTGACATAGTCCACATGTTGCTTCCTGTCAGAGGTCAGAAAGGCAACAGTATTTTTGTTCCACATGACACCCTTGTATTCATCAGCATCACTGACAGCCGGACACTCCAGAGACACCTTGTCTTTAACTTTTTTGATGACTACTTGCTCCGAGCTGGCAGCCTGACCTGCAAGCAAACAATCTATCATTACATGGACATAAACAGAAGGGGAACCTGTCTTTTTTTGGGGGGGTGCCTGGTTGACCATGTTCTTAGTGCACTTGTATCCATGGCGAGGCGCAGATACCGTCTGGAGGTGACAGGTTCAATTCCCGGTACAGTAACTATAGCTTTTGATTTTTATGTTGTCTAGTGTGTTCTTCTATCTTTCTACTTCATTCTATGAGTGCCAATCAATACACTTTCTGTTACTTGATTAATTCATAACATTACATGGACAGCAAGGACGGGTCACACTGAGACATTACCTGATTAAACTTGTGGCTTGCTTTGCAAAAGAAGAAAAGAAATCACATGCTCAAAAGCATCCCCAAAGAGGGAGCTTTAGGTTATAACTGTGACCAGGTTATGTGTGCCATATATAATGGCTTAACACTGCTCACCACCAAACAGCCCTCAAAGGGACTCTTGCAGTGTTGATGCGATAAAAGGAGGCAGACCCAAATACTGTCCCAACCGGCGATAAAGTTGTCTACCGGCCAACCAATGGGTGACCTGGTCGTCGATATTTCTGATGACAGTCCAGCATTTCTTTGTTGTATATACTCTTGGAAATATTGGTCCAAACACTGAGCCTCTTCACTTCAAATCTGTGCTGGAGGAGACATGAAATGAAAAAGCCTATCACTGGAACCCACTGAGTAAAAGAAATAGAGGGACACTGAACACATACAGAGGAGATATTCATGGACAAATAAAGACTATGGGACTGGGGTGTAGGGCAGGGGTGTCAGAACTGGGGTGTCAGGACTGGGGTGTCTGGACTGGGGTGTCTGGACTGGGGTGTCTGGACTGGGGTGTCTGGACTGGGGTGTCTGGACTGGGGTGTCTGGACTGGGGTGTCTGGACTGGGGTGTCTGGACTGGGGTGTCTGGACTGGGGTGTCTGGACTGGGGTGTCTGAACTGGGGTGTCAGGACTGGGGTGTCAGGACTGGGGTGTCTGGACTGGGGTGTCTGAACTGGGGTGTCTGGACTGGGGTGTCTGGACTGGGGTGTCTGGACTGGGGTGTCTGGACTGGGGTGTCTGGACTGGGGTGTCAGGACTGGGGTGTCAGGACTGGGGTGTCTGGACTGGGGTGTCTGAACTGGGGTGTCAGGACTGGGGTGTCTGGACTGGGGTGTCTGGACTGGGGTGTCTGGACTGGGGTGTCTGGACTGGGGTGTAGGGCGGGGGTGTCAGAACAGGGGTGTCAGGACAGGGGTGTCTGGACTGGGGTGTCTGGACTGGGGTGTCTGGACTGGGGTGTCTGGACTGGGGTGTCAGAACTGGGGTGTCAGGACTGGGGTGTCTGGACTGGGGTGTCTGGACTGGGGTGTCTGGACTGGGGTGTCTGGACTGGGGTGTCAGAACAGGGGTGTCAGGACTGGGGTGTCTGGACTGGGGTGTCTGGACTGGGGTGTCTGGACTGGGGTGTCTGGACTGGGGTGTCTGGACTGGGGTGTCAGAACAGGGGTGTCAGGACTGGGGTGTCAGGACTGGGGTGTCTGGACTGGGGTGTCTGGACTGGGGTGTCTGGACTGGGGTGTCATGACTGGGGTGTCTGGACTGGGGTGTCTGGACTGGGGTGTCAGAACTGGGGTGTCAGAACTGGGGTGTCAGGACAGGGGTGTCTGGACTGGGGTGTCTGGACTGGGGTGTCAGAACTGGGGTGTCAGGACAGGGGTGTCAGGACTGGGGTGTCTGGACTGGGGTGTCTGGACTGGGGTGTCTGGACTGGGGTGTCTGGACTGGGGTGTCTGGACTGGGGTGTCTGGACTGGGGTGTCTGGACTGGGGTGTCGGGACTGGGGTGTCGGGACTGGGGTGTCGGGACTGGGGTGTCAGAACTGGGGTGTCAGAACTGGGGTGTCAGGACAGGGGTGTCTGGACTGGGGTGTCTGGACTGGGGTGTCTGGACTGGGGTGTCAGGACAGGGGTGTCTGGACTGGGGTGTCTGGACTGGGGTGTCTGGACTGGGGTGTCTGGACTGGGGTGTCTGGACTGGGGTGTCTGGACTGGGGTGTCTGGACTGGGGTGTCTGGACTGGGGTGTCTGGACTGGGGTGTCAGGACTGGGGTGTCAGGACAGGGGTGTCAGGACTGGGGTGTCTGGACTGGGGTGTCTGGACTGGGGTGTCTGGACTGGGGTGTCAGAACTGGGGTGTCAGGACAGGGGTGTCTGGACTGGGGTGTCTGGACTGGGGTGTCTGGACTGGGGTGTCTGGACTGGGGTGTCTGGACTGGGGTGTCGGGACTGGGGTGTCGGGACTGGGGTGTCTGGACTGGGGTGTCTGGACTGGGGTGTCTGGACTGGGGTGTCTGGACTGGGGTGTCGGGACTGGGGTGTCGGGACTGGGGTGTCGGGACGGATGTTGTGACTGGGGTGTTGGGACAGATGTTGTGACTGGGGTGTTGGGACGGATGTTGTGACTGGGGTGTTGGGACGGATGTTGTGACTGGGGTGTCGGGACTGGGGTGTCAGGACAGGGGTGTCGGGACAACAAAAATACGGGGTAGGGGATGGGCTCAGTAACCTTATATTTATCTAGGGTGGGAGATCAAGGGCTTGAACCTTATTTAAGTGCAGAATAATTATTATTACGTGTTGAATAGAGATAAATATAATATATCTGAAATGTGTTAACAAATACTTAATCACAGAGCTTATATACATAGTTTGGATTGGGCACTTAGCCACTAGCAAATTTTCTTGGGTGTGGCGCCTAAAAACTGTTTGGGATGGGGGGTTGAACATGCCAATTTGTAACGTTTGCTGTGGGCCACAAGGTTCTCCCACTCCAGATTCCAGCGACCCTGATGTGGGGGAGACCCTGGAGGGCACAGCAGGAAATGAAGACAGATAAGGGCCAGTGGTCCAGGGTCTATGCCCCAGTGGAAGATTTTTTTTTTTTAAATAACCAGCATGGGCTGGAAAGAATGTGCTGGCTGTCTGTGATCCAGAAAGTATCAACTGCAGAAGAGGCAAGGTTTTGGTGTGAGTAGGTCGAGGGTCAATGCACGTTCAGATGCCACCAGTAAGGCTTAGTGTTATGAAGAAACATACAGTTGGTGATGGGAAAATGGGGAGAAGCATTATCTCAAAAGATAGTCGGTAAAGTACTTCATCATTGTGACAATGATGATGGTGATCTAGAAGAACATTGCTGTGTGTTAAGAAACATCATTGGCACCTTTCTGTCTTTCCTGTCGATGGGTGTTATATTGCGCTATGAGGAGGCATGAGAATCACAGCCTATGGTGATGGCGAGTGTGACTAGCAAGTTCCGCTTGTGTCAAGAAAAGTCTTCCACGGTGATAGCATGAGATTTCAGGACCATTGTTGTCAACATCTGTGTTTAAAATCCCTTTCTTTTTAGACGCTCAGCTGTCATCCTTTCTGCAATCATTTCTTCCTTTAGTCTTGTCTTCTTCCTGATATGCTCTTTCCACACAACACGGTCCATGGCATTTTGTTCCCATGAGTCCGCCTCAATACCTGTATCATTCATATCCCGCTTGCACACATCTTTATATCGTAGTAGAGGTCGGCCTCGACATCTTCTTCATATCTTTAAAAACCCGTAACTGCTGCCTCTCGATTTGTTTCTGAGACCGATTAAGTCCAGGGATGAAGTTCCTCCTCTCCATAGCACAAAGCCTGGGCAGTATTGTAGAGACCATTTGTTGCCCATGCATAATGATCCCTCCCTCGACCCGCATTGTTTACTCCAAAGGAAAGGTAAAACCAGTAGGTTTGGAACGAGGCAGGTTGCAAAAGCTGCCGGATCAGAAGAGCAGTGCTCTATGTGTCCGCCTGTCGGAGCTTCCCTCCTAGACCAGCTGTCATTTCCTCTTCCTAGGGTAAGGCTAGTAGCCTCCCCAATGCGCTCCTCTGCCTGAAGCCGCTGGCACAATATGGGATGTTGGGTTAGTTAAGAAACCAACACACTGTTATATAAGCAGACCACAACGTTAAGACTTCTCAAATAACGTTTCAAATGCAGACGTGAGAGTGATCGAGCCCGCCACACTTCCACTCCGTCAGACCAAAGACAGAAGGTCGGACTTGGAGGGAGAGAACGTGAAAAATCAGAGAGAGTCGACCGGGGGGGGGGGGTGTCCCTTGAGAACTAATGGTGTATAACTTGAGCGGTAACATGAACTGACAGCCTCCACTGCTTACAAAAGGTCTAACGTACAAAAGACAGTACAAGCAGGGGTCGATAGGTCAAGGACTGGCGGGCGCAAGTTCTGCGACTGGCATACAAATCAGGTAATACAGCCAGCACCAATGGTGTCCTCTCAGCGTGTGTAGCCGTTAACGGGTGTCCTCGTTATAATTTCTTTGGAGGTTGAACTGTAGTCAACCTTTACAGTGGGGTGGGGGGAACCACACACGCACACACACAAAATTATATTAATTATTATTTTATCTTCCTCATTCAAGAAGCGAGAGAAAAATATAGTGAAAATGATTAGAGGGATTGGTTAAAGTAGAGAGAGAGACAGAGAGAAAGAGACATAGACAGAGAGAGAGAGGGTACTTCTCTCTAACTGCCCGCATTGCAAATGTTCTAGTCCACACACTGCATACTAAATAAAAAGAGTGAGAACGAGGAAGTGCAAAACAAGCCAGAAATTTCCCCAAGAAATGAGTCAAGTATTAGTGTTGTGGTACAAGCCACCTGGGCTGGCTCAATGCCGACTTCAATAGTGAGACGGCCTTGGTTGGATGGTAAGTGCCTGAAATACTCACAAACATTCCCTGTTATCATCATCACGCAGTAGGTCCTTTGCAGACAGTCGCGCTCATCCCGATCTGCCTGAAAGAAACTCAGTCTCTCGCCTTGTGGACTTTCCTATTCAAGGAGTCACTTATATCATGTGCCCATCTGCGTTTCTGTCGGCCTCTGCCGCTCCCTCCTGGTAACAAGCCTTCTGATATATTTTTTTTTTCTGAACCGCCA